GTAAGCAAGAAAATGATTATTTATAAATTGTAAATTAAACAATTTATTTATGAACTTCAATTTTATATGAAAGTCTAATTCAATTTATTATTATTGAAAACCACATATTACTCTACTCTATTCTTCTAAAATAAAAAATTCGTGAATAAGAAATAAATCCAATTAAGAAATAATTTTTTTGAATAAAAAAGAATAAAAATAAACAAAAATACTAAGAAATTATTTTTGATTACACAGTTCTTTTTACGTACTATACAGAGAAACTGTAATATTTATTTTATTTATTTAAGTTTTGTAAAGAAAATGAAATATTTTGAAAAATAAAAATATATGGATATTACATAGAATATTTATCTGTAATGTTATCTTTCTTCTTTCATATTTTCTATTATTTTTAATTTTACAATGGTTCATATATATATTTTTTTAAATATAAAAAGAAAATTAATATTAATTATTTAGATATTTTTAATTTATTCATATTTCATATTTAAATAATTTTTTCTAACATTCATTGAATCTTGAATCGATATCTATTTATGCAGAATACAATTAAATACGTTATTATTGTATACATATATTATAATATATACAAAGTCTGAATGAAATTGGAAAAAATTTAAGCAATAGTTCTAAAGATTAAAATAAATATAAAACTTGATATGCAAAAATATCCTTTAAAGCTTATTTTTTAAACTATAAATAATTAAACAACAATTTAATTCTGTATTAAATAAGGCGAGACAGACAGGAAGAGAAAGATGGAGAACCATTTTATTATTATTATATTTCATCTATTACAAAATTAAATTGCTTATAACTTGAAAAATAACCTTTAACTGTCATTTTTGCAAACTTTTATTTCAATTTCTAAAGTTAGGTCTTTAAATTTTTTGTCAAATTTTATTTGAATATCTTATATATCCATATATAGAATATTAATATATTTTTGAAGAATTGATTCTAGAGGACAAAGAATCATAAATGTACATAGAGATATGGATTAAAATTTATTTATTATATTACGAGCAAATGAAATTTGCGTCAAATGAAACAGAAAAAATGAAACGACGGTATGACAGAGACAGAGTCTCGCTCTGTTTATTTTTATCTAGGCAAACTTAATAATTTAATAAATAAATTTTAACAACATTCGAACTTTAAACTAATATCCCTTTAAAGATATCTAACGAATATATTAATACTTTGTATAATACAATAATATAATATAATATTAATATATTGACTTTGTATAAAATAAAACAAAAACAGTCGAAATTATGATTTATATATGATTGTTTTTAAATAAATTTTGTTTTTAAAAAAATTTACCTCTAATCTTTTAGATTTAGTCTACGAAAAATAATTTTTATAAAAATATTTAAATTGTTTTTATAAATATAAACATATTTTTATAAATATTGATTGATTTTTTAATTTTCATTTTATATTATTATTATTATAAATTAAATAATATTTTTTATTAATTAAATAAATTAAATAATATTAATTTTATATTATAAATTTTGATATTTCAAAAAGAATATCTAAAATCACATTAGATTTCATATCATATAAATTAAGAATAAAAATACTTGTGAAATGACAATTTCTTTTCTTTATTTCAAATCTGAATTTTTTTACTCGAAATTACTTTTATACAATAAAAAAAAAATATTATTTGCTTAAAGCATTTAAATTATTGTGAACTACTGAACAAAAATTTATAAAATCATTAATATTAATTTTTAAATGATTTATAATAGAATATTTATTAATTAAATTTAGATTTTAATAATAGCTTAACTTTTTTAAAAAATTTTCTTTTAGTAATGAGTACAATAAAATAATATGAATTATAATAGATTAAAAAAAAATTAAATCGAATATAATTTTTAATATAAAATATATAATGATATATAATATTTTTATAATGAGAAATTTTTTTTTAATATTTTAATAGATTTTATATCATTCATTTTAACAAAAATATAATAATCTTATAAAAATAATTTTAAAACATATTATCCTATTATTATCTTGTAAAAATTATCATTATAAAAGACAATTTTTATTCGCAATTAAAAATTATAAAAAATAAAAAAAATATTCTTATTCTTTGAACATATATTCTTTGTACATGCATATGCATAGAATTTTCGTTTCAAATTGTTTTTATTTATCTTTACAATTTTGTTTAATTTCAAATATTATATATATATATATATATATATATATATATAATAAACATAATTTTTCAATGAAATAAATAAAACAAGTTATTAATTTTTTGCAATATTCAAAATATATGAACCAAAACAAATATTCTATTTCGATATTTGATTTATTTTTACAACCGTAATGCGAATAACTATGAATAATTCATAACCACAAACTTTTATCTTGTTTCTTTTTCTTCGATAGTTTTGTAAAGACACTCTCTTTTAAAATATAATTCGAACAAATCGAAAATACGTCGAAGAAAACCGAAGCGTAAACCATTTGATTATTTTCATCGAACTATTTTTATAAAATATATTTCCGATAATATTAAAAAGTAATGAACAATAAAAGCAAAAAATATATGTTTACAAAATAATGAAAATGTTGAAAAAATGAAAAAAAACTATAAGAAATAAAATTAGATAGATCGAATAAAAATATGAATACAATATACTGATTAAAAAATGAAATACATTGAAATAAGTGAAAACTATCACGGAGTGAATATTTAATACTATGTGTATTTGAAAATGATTCGAATATATATTGCACGAACAAGAGAGAAAGGTATGCTCCAGATCCACATACAGAAAGAAAAATGTCTCGATTATACTTATTTATTATTTATTATATTATTTCTTATATTATTTTGTACTTTTATTTCTTATAATTCTATATTTTTTATTTTGTTTTATTTTGTGAATTAATATTTCAAAATATATGTACTATAGATATTCAAGTGTATTCATGTATGTACTAGATTTTTTGTAAAAAAATATTTTTTTACTCTTTATTTAATAAATCAAATATAAATAAAAAATTTAGATGTAGATATATACATATATTTTTCTATAATACAAATTGATGCAATAATTAACTTACCCTAAATATTTAGTAGCATTCAGTAATTTATATCGCCAATCGATATTTATCTTCCGCATTCCGACACAAATGGATAATATGCTTTTTTTTACATTAATAATTTTTTTAATATTTATAACGATTATTAAAATTTATAATAATACAATTTAAATTTTAATTTAAAATTTAAATAATATGTAATAATAAAAATATGTATTTCTCAAACTGAATTGCGATAAAATCGAAGTCATATAGTAAAGTAAAGGAAACTCGCGTTTGCTACACACTTGACGTTCAATCAATAGATCATGATCAAATTTCGAAAGTCGATCTATTCTCTGTTTCGATTAGAAAATAAAACCGCCACGAATCACTATGCTTTTTGAAACTCGATCATTCAATAACATTCTTCTATTCCACACGTTCCGTCATCAAAGCATTGTCGTTCAACTTTCAAAACTATTGCGTTAAAATAAAAAGATATAATTTATCTTCAATACCAACTTATATACTTCGATCAATTTATATGTATTATTTTTTAACAAACTTACGCTTCTTTTATATATACATATATTCTTATCAAGAATTTTAATAGAAAAATTTTAGCAAAATAAGCATTAATTATAAAAAATTACTTGTCCTTGTCAATAGTAAATAATTAAAAATAAATGTTGATAATATTATCAACAATAATTATCAATATTATATATTATTACAAAGCAATTTTTTTTTATTTTACTTTCTTACTTAACCTATTTGATTAGCATAAAATATAATGTACAAAAAAATATTCAGGCAACTTTTTTAAAATAAAATATAAAATTAAATGCAAAAAATCAAATATTTTGTAATTTTTATATACACATATAAAAATTTGTTCTATTTTGTATATATATTCATAGTATAAATAAATACTTACTTTTCTTTTGTCAATGCCAGCTCTGAATTTACTGCTTCTCCTCTATTGCTCTTTTGTCCTATAAAATCAAAAATATTAATTTTAAATATGATAAAAACCATGTTAAATATGTTAAATATTATAAAAATTATATTATGAATAAATGAATAATAATTTATAACAAAGAGATTAACAGATAAAATTACCTGCTGTACTTATTTTATCAAGCTGATGATTTTCCTCTACTAATGTTTTTGTGTTAACCACTTCCATGTCTTCTGCAAAATAACATTACAAATAGATAAATATACAATTAAAATTATCTATTAATGATATTATAATTATAACATCTTTATTATTGATATAATAAATTAATATTGACATATATTTTATATATCAATATTTTTTTTATATATATTCTAATTGAAAAATATTTAAATTTAATTATAAATTTAAAAATTTATTTAAATTTATTGATGAAAGTATATAAAAATAAAATAAAGAAAAAAATAAAAAATTTACATTAATATTAAATGGAATTATTAATAATATAAATTAAATCATGAATTGATATTATTCATTTATTATTATTTGTTATATTTATACTATATAATATATATATATATATATATTATAAAAAAATAAAATTATCATATAAATTATGTATAATTAGAAAAATATAAAATCATACCAGTTAAGTCTATAGATGAAATAAAATACTTTCATCAAAGTGAATAGTTCAATTTACGTTCCAATCTTTTCACTATTTCACACACACTGTACACTATCAGAGTGGCATACATTACTCACAAAATTTTATTCACTGATGAAGACTGTGAAAATACACTTCAATTCAAATTAATGAAAAAGAAAATGTTTATGTATGTAAACATGTGAATCAAAATATATTAACAAAATACAAATTAGATTAAATAATTTCTATTTTATAAATTATTTTAATCGGGCATTATCAAAATTATTTAATAAATATAATTATCAGAAAAAATTTGATGTTTAAATGAAATTGGATTACACCAATAATAAATTACATGGATATCAAAGGCACAAGCAATTGGCAGACAATGGACTTCTATTCACATCTGTAATGCTGAATTGTTGGTACTTCAGTGAGGTGCAATGAGAAAATGTAAAAGGTTTGGTTAGTTTCAGGGATGTATGAATCAAAATTGGAACCTAGAACTAAATACTAAGAAAAAATTAAATTTTAATTTATAAAAAATTATAAAATAAAAATAACAAACCTGAATTTAAATTATTTATTAATTCAAAAAAATAATTAATATTTAGAAATTCAATGTATAAAATCTCTTTTTTTAATTTAAAAAAAGATTATTTTTTTAATTAAAAAATTTTTTTTAAATTTTAAATATTAAAAATATATAAATTATAAATATATAAATTATAATATTAAAATATTATATAATATTTTTTGTAAAGAACATACATAATTAAATCTTAAAAATTTTTTATATAAATTTTTAGTTCAATGTTCTATTTAAATCTAATACAGTTTCTGTTAATCTATTAAATTGTTATCTGTTCTTAACAGTTGTTAACCTTAAAAGTTAAAACAAGGAAGTGAAAAAAGAAATAAAATTGATATAAATTAAAAAATAAAATTAAAGATTATATATATATATGTATATGGAAACAAACAATTGATATACATTATTTGAAATATATCGTTCATTGAACTTAATCCATTATACTAATTTATAAAAATCAACTTATGTTTGTACATATTAAAGAGATATAAGACAATAAGTAAAAATATTGATTAAAATAAATATTTTTAAAAAATTTCTAAAATCAAAATGTGTGATTTGATTGTAAAATTTTTATGACATTTTTTGTATAAAATTTTCAAAGGAGCATATGAAAAACATATCAAAACAATTTATTGTTATTAAATATTGAATTATTTTAAGGACAAAAATATGAATTTTTATTTTCTTATGTAAGATTTCTATATATATATTTATATATAAAAATATAATATATAATATAAATATTTATAAAAATATATATGTAAAAATATCATATTTTATTAAAATTTAATTAAATAAGTTTTAATAATGTAATGTTTAATATGTTTAATAACTTTATATTTTTTTAGGATGCATATGATATTATCATTAAATATGTTGCTGATAATAATTATATGTAAAATATTGTGTATATTTATTATTTTACCTATTTTATTAATAATTTTGAGAAAATATTATTCCAAAAAGCGAACAGAGAGATCTCACAAAGAAACAGTTGTGGGTTTTTTTCACCCATATTGTAATTCAGGTGGTGGTGGTGAAAGAGTACTTTGGGCTGCTATTAATGCTATACAAACCAAGTATAACTAACTTAAATAATTTGATAAATTAATTAATAATACATTATTTTTAATATTTTTAAATTATAATACTTTTGCAGATATCCTAATATACATATAGTTATTTATACTGGAGATCTTGATGCACATCCGGAACAAATTTTAAATAAGACAGAAAAAGTATTTAACTATAAAATTGAACATAAAATTGAATTTGTATATTTACATAGACGAAAATGGGTAGAAGCTTCAATGTATCCTTATTTTACCCTTTTGGGACAGAGTTTAGGATCAATTTGGTTAGGTCTTGAAGCTTTAAATAGTTTTGTGCCAGGTAAAAATGTTTTATTTTATATCATTTTTTAAATAACTATATTGTAAATCACATGTAAAATATTATTTTAGATATTTACATTGATACCATGGGTTATGCATTTACATATCCACTATTTAGATATATTGGTGGATGTCGAGTAGCAACATATACTCATTATCCTACAATTTCAACTGATATGTTAAGACATATTTATAAAAGAGTTATCTCTCATACCAATAAAAGAGTTATAGCTAGAAATCCATTTTTATCAGCAGCCAAACTTATTTATTATAAATTATTTGGATTTGTATGTATAAGAAAATTATTAAAGAACTGTATTTCAATATTTTAATCTATAATATTTACTTTAGATATATGGTTGGGTTGGTAGTAGAGCAGAAATTATAATGGTTAATTCTTCATGGACTGAAGATCACATTAACACAATTTGGAAATGTCCACTAAAAACTCACAAAATTTATCCACCATGCGATGTAAAGCACTTAACATCACTACCATTTCTCAAGGATGATGAAAACTGTGACAGTATTCGCATAGTATCAATTGCACAATTCAGACCAGAAAAAAATCATCCATTAATGTTAAAAGCTATATATGAACTTAGATCAATTGTTAAAGAAGAAATTTGGGAAAAAGTAAGTATAATATAATGTAAATATATCAATAATAAAAAAAGACATATTAGAGAATTTTTTTTTACAATATTTTATGACTGGAATCTCAATTAGGTTCGTCTAATTCTCATTGGATCCTGTCGAAATTTTGAAGATGACGTACGCATGAAAGATATGCAAGATTTATCAAAACATTTTGCATTAGATGAAAATGTAGAATTTAAATTAAATATACCATATTCAGAACTTCTATTAGAACTTCAACGAGCAACAATAGGTTTACATACAATGTGGAATGAACATTTTGGTATTAGCATTGTTGAATGTATGGCAGCAGGATTAATTGTAATAGCTCATGCTTCTGGTGGTCCAAAGTAAAGTATAATTCATATAAATAATAATAATATAAATAATAAAGTATATATAATATATAAAAATATATATATATATATAATAAAAAAAACATTTACATATAATTTAATATATAGATTAACATATAGTTACAATATATCAATAATTATAGAGCTGATATAATAGAAACACAACCAGGATCTCAAAATGGATTTTTAGCTACAGAAGCTGAAGAATATGCAACAATTATGGCACATATTATTAATATGCATCCGAAAGATAGAAATGCTATTAGAACAGTTGCTAGGTATTAGTTTCATTAGTTTATTACTTTTTTTATATTTTTCTGCCAGAAATATTAGTAAAAATAAATTAATTTTTCAGAGCGTCTGTAAACCGGTTTTCAGATGAAATATTCGAAAGAGAATTTTTGCGAACTATAGAACCATTTTTTAGACAAAAACAGGAATGATAATCCTTAAATATTAAACTTTATTACATTTTTTTAATTTTTTTTATTTTTACTTTCGTAAAAAGTATTTCAAAAAAAGTTTTTAAAATGATTCGTTTATCAATTTAATAAAAAAAAAAAAAATACATAAATATAAAATTAAATATAAATTTAAAAATCTAAATTAAAAATATAAATTAAAAAATTAAAAATTTAAAAAAATTTATAAAATAAAAAAAAACATTCTTTAAATTCTAATATATATGTAATTATTTAAAAATAGATAAAATATATAAAAATTATCTGTACATATGTATTTTACATTCAAATAATATTTATTGCAATACAAAACATACATTTTTATTCTGCATATTTATTTTCATATTCACAACCTTTACATTCTAAGCTGTATGAAATATTATCTCCATCATTACTATTTTCACATAAGTTAAAATGAAGATTAAATTGAGCTAACATCAACTCTGCAACTTTTATAACTGTTTCTGTATGACAAGTAAGTTTTTTACTGCCAAGATTAATTCTAGAAGTACCTTTAGCTAGAGCCATAAAGATGATTAACTGAAATAAATAATTGATTATTATATTATTTATAAAATTTAAGAATTATTTATAATTATTTGATACATACTTGATCTTGCGCGTAATCGTCGACACAAGATCTTGCTAAAATTGTATCCAAAATTTCATTAGCTGCTTGTATACCCGGAGCTATTTGCTCTTGACGTCCAGAACCCAATCCTGATCCACCAAAAATACATTCACTAGTCGTAGTACACGTTACGCTAATATCAATTATATTTTATTAGAAATATGATGTATAAAATTTATTGTTCTACACATTTATTCCTATAATATTAAAACCTTACTTAATGCCAGAACCATTACCAATAGCTATAGATTTATCCTCTTTATAGACTTCAATATTTATAGATGGTAATGGAATATTATGCTTGTTTAGACCTTCTGTTAAAATTGATTTTACATCATTGGCCATTTTATGTGCTTCCTTCAAAATGAAGAAAATATAAAATAAATATAAAATATATATAAATTTAATATTTAAAATTAGAAATATATCAAGATTATGAATATTAAATTATATATTAAAATTATATAAAATCATATTGAAATTATATTATAGAAGCTATATATAAAAGTTACATACTTTAATAGGAACAACACCTGCAACATATGCCCAACCTAATATTTCACGGGGAATTCCTGGATCAGTTAAAGTAATAGCTTTCAAAATATGTACAGGTTTTATATATAAATATATTTCTCCACCTCCCTTTGGATAATAACCCCTTTAAAAACAATTATAAAATTAATATGTAATCTAGTATATAGTCTTTAAACAAGACTCTTTAAACAACTTTATAACTTACATTAACTTAACAACTTATAATAGAATATTAACAATAGCATACATTAATATATACCTTGTTATAACTCTAAAATCAAAATCTGCTCCAAATTTATTAAGTAATGGCTTCAATACTTCTGTGAGATATTCTATATGTGGTCCCATAGGAACATTCGTACCACCTTTAAGAATTAATGTAACCATATCTCTTTGTGGAAAAAAAAGAGCACATGGTAAAGCTACTTGAGCTAGCAAACAAATACAACCAGCAGTTCCTGTATCTATAAGAAATGTATTATTTCTTTTTTCATTTAAATGACCAGGTTTAAATTCTAGAAATGTTGATCCTATATATGCTCCATGAACATCTGCATTACACATAGCTTTTAATAGTTCTACTCCTATAATATTTAATTTAATATATTAATTATTATATTTTAGTTATCTTGCTTTATTAATTATTATATAGATAATTTAATTTAATTATATTGTAATCTTTTTTTAAAATATTTAACAATAATTATATGATATTTTAATAAAAACAAACCTTTTAAATGTTGTGCAGCAAGTCCAGGTTTAGGACGGCCTGCTCGTATATTATTAATTTTAATTGGAATTTTATACAATGCACTTAGAGAAAGTGCTATTCTTAATACTTGACCTCCCTAAATACAAACAATATATATTTTTAATTTTAATTGAAAATATTAAAATAATATATTTCAAACCTATATTTTATAAGTAATTACAATTTTAATAATAATTAATTGATAATATTAAAAATAACATATTTCAAATTTAATAAATAAATACCTAGTAATAAATATCTTACAAATATATTCTGTAAATCCTACTAAAAACTGATTAACCTTTCATCATTTTTAAAATGATAAATTTTAAAATATATATACATACACCTTCGCCTAAACTTCCATCAATTTGTACTACAGACATGGTATGAATAGTGCGGTCGAGTGTGCGAAAAGCACGCAACACTCCGCTATATAAATTTTGCACTAAAATATCGTTTCTTCTTTAAGAAAGCAAAATTGAAGTTGTTTACCTAAAACAATAAAAATACAAACTAAATACGAACTATAATATACAAATAAATATAAAATTTATTTTACATAAATTCATTTTAAAATCTCAATATATAATATATTTACATTATTACATATATTATTTACCGGTAGTTAATATATATATCTAAAATATATATATCTAATCAAAAAAATCTCACTATCTTATGAGAAAATTTATTTAATCCGTAAAAATTTTAATTCTAATGAAAGTTTATGTGAATATAAAGTATAATAAGCTATACATGAAGCAATTGTTTTTTTTTCGTCCGAAAATTTCTTTGACGGGACGAAATCAAATTACTCAAAGTTTGAGCAGTTTTGTGGGAATATTGCCTACTAGAAGTCTCTCAACTTATTATATTTGTTCTTTTCTACAAATGATCAAACCATTTGTTTTTACATATATGATTTTCGACTTCATCTCTATTATTCTTATGCTAAAGGCTAGTTTAGAAAAATAATTAATATTTGCCAAATTTGTTATAATTTGAATTACTAAAAGAAAAGTTATTGTAATCTATAATAACTTTAAGGAATAATTCCCAACGATTCCCATGGATTTAAATTTTTATATTTAAATTTATTTTAATTTAAATTTATATTATTATATTATATTTCCATATCGAATTTAATACTTAGTATCATAAACCAAAAGTGTCAAATTAACGGTCTGCGAATCAAAAGTTAAAATAAGAAATTCAATCAAAATTATTATTCCAATAAGAAAAAAATTCTTCGAATAGAATTAAAGAAGTAAAAATATAGAATTTCAAGATATCGATTTTTCCAATGTCTGATCATTTGTATTTATCATCATTCTTTTCATTAGATAAAAATTCTCGTGAGAATCAATCAACAATATTTATTTATATTTATTGTCATCAAAATTAATTTATGTTTATTGTCATTTATATACCGTCAGTTTTTGATTCTAATTTTTAACTTTTATTTGTATGTTTATTTTTTTTTAGTTTATGTATATTTTTATGTTTTGTATTATATTGTACTTTTATATATATTATATATTTTATATATATATATATTATATATATATTATATAGGATTATAAAATTATAATTCATACCATTTAATATAATACTTTATCTGAGTCGTTAATATGAATTTCTATAGTTGCATTAACACAAATCATAATATAAATTTACATAATAAAAATGATAATATTATAGTACAATTAATATATTTTTTTTAAATTTTTCTTTCTTTAAAATTTTATAATTCATGAAATAAAATAGATCTTAATCCAAGTAATTATTTACTTCAATAAACGTTATTATAAGTAATGAAATATATAAACTAAAAATTTTTCTTATTTTTACAATAAAATAAAATAAAATTTAATTATATTATAGAAGCAATTTTTACAAACATATTTATAATTTCATTTTTCATAAGATATAACATGATATTGACATCTTTAACTCATATATATTTATTTTAAATTAAAAATTTTTTTCTTCGATATTTAATAATGAAAATATAATATATTTAAGAAAGAATTATTATGCTTATTATAATGCTTGCTTATTTATTGGCAGTTAATTTTATATTGTATTTTTATTTACAAATTTTTAATACAATTACAAATTATTTTATGTTGTAATGTAAAAATTAATAACAATTTATAATATAACTTATTGTTTATGATAAATAAAATTTTATTAATAATCATGTTTAATACCTGATTTTAAAAGTTTTTAATAATCTAATAATTATTATCATTATAATATGAATATTTTATAAATGAATGAGTGATTTTCATAACAATTTAGTCTAATTCATTTCCATTTCTATTTGTTCTTGTTCATCACTGGATTCTTGCATTTTGTCATGTTCAGTAATTTCTTCTAATTTCTTTCTTTCTTTTAATCCTACAGCAGGTGATTTTATAAGTGATAAATCACGTTGAACTTCTTTAATATCTCTTTCTTTTTCTAATTCTCGTCCTTTACGTAATCGTTGCATTATATGTAGATTTTGTCTTCTTTGTTTGATATTTTCTACTTTTTTCATGGCATTAATTGCATTATGCCATAACTCTCTATTATACTTAATAGGAATATTCCTTCTTTTTTCAAATTCAAATGATGGATCTACTGCCAACTCTTTTCCAACTGTTTTTCTATATGCTTTGGTCCATTTGACTTTTCTTGGATTTTTCTTTTTCTTGAATGCAGCATGACATTTTGATCGACAAAATTTAAATATCTATAACATAAACAAAATATGATATATAAATATAGTATTATAATTGATTATCAATAATTGATGATCAAATATTAAATAATTGTTAATTGTTCATATACATTTACAAAAATATACAAACAAAAAATAATATATATATATAACCTAAACAATGTCGAAAAAGTTTGAATTTTATAATTTGAAAAAGAATATTTTAAAATATAATTTTGAATTTTATTATTATTAATATTATAAAAAAATATACATAAAAATTCTCACCTTACAATCATTTCTTACGAATTGTATTCCATGTCCCGGATATATCCGAGATGAACAAAAATAACACGTTTCTATACGCATATTGCATTCATTTATGAAAATACTGGATTAAATCGGAAATCAAGACAATGAATATAAGATTACAGATGAGATAAAAAATTAATAATATTTCTCCATAAAAATTTATTATGTTGTAAATATTTTTTTGAAATTTCTTATAATAATTTAATATATTTTCATTTTTGAAACAATTTAATGTCAATAATACTTATTTATAAGTTATAAATATAATTAATATATAAAAATTCAAAATGATATTTTATATATCAAATTATATATATATATATATATAAGATAAATAATATATTTTTTAATTTGATAATTTTTTAAGAAATATTTTGTAAAATTAAAATGAAAAATTTAAATCATTGCTAAATATTTAAAAATATAGATATAGTAAAAATTTGAATTTTTTCTTGAAAGATATTAATATTTTTGAAATAATATAGTAAATAATAAGAATATAATATTTTTTGCAATTAATCTTTTTTGTTTTAATATTTTACAATTGATTAAATAAAATATTCATAATAATAAATTATACATATATATTTTGAATTTTATACTTTTATTTTATATTTATTTGTATTCATCTTAATGCTCTGAAGTTGCTGATTTTTAGTAAGTTACCTTATTATATTTATTAAGTATAAAAATTTTTCATAAATATTATGGTTTTAAAATATTATAAATTAATTTATATATATATTTTAAATTTTACATATAATTATTTTCATAGAAAATATTTCTTTTTTTGGTTGATTTTAAAAAATGTTTTTTCTCAAGATTACTAACTTTTGCTCTTAATTGTATTTATAACATATAAAAATTATTTATTAAACATTTATATATCTGAAATATTTTCCCAAATAATATCTAAATGATTTTATAAAAATTTTGAAATAATTCTAGATTGGAATTCTAGATATGGAATATGATTTTTATCAAAGGCATCTGTTATTTTTCAAATTTTTTAAGTTATTTTCTAATTATTTATAGAAAATAAATAAAATTTACAATTAATAATAATTATTAATTAAAACAGTATTAAAACAGTATTCATTAAAAACAATATTCAAAATACAATTTGAATGCAAAAGATTATACTATTTATAAATGCATAGTTACATTTTTTTTTTTTAACAAAGATATTGTAAAATCACTTAATAAAAATTTCTTATTTACATTCGTTCATACTTTATAAACATAATACATAAATATAATCTTACAACAAAACATCAAATAGTAATTTAAACTTTGCATAATTTTTAGCATTATAATTTATTAAACATTTTGATTTTCCTAAATAGTTTTATTTATCATTTATAATATATTTTTTAAATAATTTTTAACTTTATATTTATAATCACATGTAATTAATTTTTTGTGTTTTTAACACGTTTTGCAAAGGTATGTATATATTTATAATAATTCATAATATACGAATTACAATGGACATTGTATCACATTTATCTTACTACTATACGACATTCGATTGTTATTTATTTCTTTTTTACGGCATTCATGTTTTTGATATAATATTAATAATCGATAAATTTGAGAACGAAATTCTCGTCCATTTTATAAAATGTATAATATAATTAAAAAAAATATATATATATATGTTTCAGTACATTTAGTACATTCAAAACCAAATTTAGTATGAATTAGGTACTGCACTGAAATATTTTTTTAGCTGTTTTTCAACGCATGTCATAAAAAGAGATATCACAAATTTCGCTATTCGACGTAAATACATTGATATTTGTACTTTCTATTTAATTTTTAATGAAATTTATTTTTAATTTTAAACTGAAATCTAATTTTTTTCTTGGTATGTTGAATAAATATTAATCTTCTGATCCAGCACCTTAAAAATAATATATTATTAATTATAATATATTTTATATATAGCATTGATTATTATGTTAATATTTACAATTATAATCATTAGCTAACTTACTTTAAGGCCTCGATACTGCCATTTAACGTCTTTTATTTCCATGACGTCGACCGAACTTACGATTTTTTCTGTAAATAAAGAGAAATTAATATTTATCATTATATATTATAAATATTGATTCAAATTGTTAAAAAATTAATCAATATGATATATTAATGCGAAACCTAATATTTAATAATATTAATATAATATACATATATATATATGGATTGTATTATAGTATAGTATAATTGTGATTAAGGATATCCTTAAATGATTAAGAATATAATTAAGAATCTTATAGAGAAATCCAAATAAGAGTCATTCAAATTTTTATTTATTCTTTTTAAATCATTCAAATGCAAGGCATTCATTTAATTAATTTTTTCTATTACTTATATGTTATAATAAAATATAATAATAATAAAAAAAAATTTCATTCAAATCAACAGCATTGTTTATATTTTTTAGATAATATGTTTGTAACAACCTTTATTTAATTTCTTTGCTTAGAAAATTTCGCATGATATGCTATATTTTTTAATCACTTTTAGTTTAAATCTTATAATATTATTTAATCATAACTACTATATAAAAGTAAAAAAAATATACCTAATTTTACTCGGTGAAGGAACCGGAGTATGTTCGGCAATAACAGGTAATACAGAAGTAAATTTGTCAGTTGGACGTAAAAGGCGTGCTGTACGAGAAGATAATCTCCATATCAGTCTTTGTCTGTGAGGAGTTTGCTCTTGAGCATTATATTTGCTCAATACAGCACCCACAGCTTCATGTGTAGAAAAAAAGCTTGTGTCTGAAATCTATATATATAATAGATATATCAATACTTTATGTTACTTATTATGTTATTCATTATTCATTTAAAAAATATAAAAAATATAAATATGTAAAATATAATTAAATAATTAATAATAATTAAATATAATAAATATATAAATTGTTATAGAATTACCTTACATATTTTTTGAAGTTGTATAGCAAAGTCCAAAAGTCTAAGCATTTGATGTCTTGATGTTATAGATGTATTAATAGTAGAGGAACTAGGTATAGCAGTTGTTGATATGGGAATATCTGTATTAGTGTCTAATCGATTCACTGCACTATCTAAATATGTGCAGAGTAAAACAAGTGCCACTTCTGATGGTCTCAAACTTGCACAATTACCATCACACGCAACCATTTCTAACCTAAGTAAAAGCTCAGATTCCTAAAATAAAATAGATAGCAAATTTATATTACATTTTATATTCATATATTATATTAATGTAATATTTTTAACAAAATTAAAATTATTACCGTAACAATACTGGTATACATATCTAGTCCTAAGTGTGATGCAATTGCAAGGAACATTGCATTGAATAATTGAAGAAAAGTTAAAGATGTAATAGGTTGAGTACCAGGTGCCCATTCTAACTTATTCCGTATTACTTCTGACATACGTTTAAGATCACCACCTGTGCATTTACACTGAGAAATTGAAACTAAGTGATCAGCATCCAATGACTGTGCTAACTGAACAGCAGCTATGTGAAAAGCAGATACACTGATACAAGCCATATGTTTTGGTCTTGCTTTCATTTTTGTTAAAAATCGATCCATTAAATTAATAGCAACAAAAAATACATCTGATGGTAGATCATACCATACTTTCAAACATCTTAAAACATGAGCAGATCCATCACGAGCTCCAATTGTTATTTCATCATTCTAAAAGAAATAAAGTTATTTAAATAAAAAATATATACTAATATAATGACTTTTTACAATTAAAAAAAATTTTTTCAATTTATTTTAATTGTAATTATTATTATTTTTATATTAATTTTTTATATAATTTATGTACATACTTGTGTTATATTAGGCAATTGAAGATTAGGTTGATATTTTACTTCAAGGACCAAAGCTTCTTGCAATTGTTCAAGTAGCGGGTGGATTGCATCCGGTACAGGCAAGCCCGATGTGTCCATTCCTGCAATGTGTGACTGACAGCTCACTACAGCAATAATGAAAGAATAAAATAATATAAAAAATGCGTAGTGTGGCTGATAATACAAATGTCACACAACAAGAATGGCGCAGCTGGCTAGCCTTGTATCTGTAAAAAAAATACAATATTAATATATTATTAATAATATAATATATATATTAATAATATAAAATAATTGTTTAAAAAAAATTTAACTTAATTATTTATAATTATTATATTAATAGTAATAGATAAATTTATTTTTAACATATGCTATCATATATTTAATTGATTTAACAATCAATTGAATGGTTAATTGATTTAACAATTAATTTAATGATTTATTCTTTAATAACATAAATTCAATTATGGATATATACCTGTATTTAAATATTTAAAATAATTAAAGAGTTAAAGAACTATTATAGGAAAAAAATATAGAAAAACAGAAATATTAAATTGAATCTTTTATTATATTATAAAATGAAAATTTCACAATGATGATTTCTATAATATTTATTAATATAATATTTAAATATTAAAACTTATTAAAAATTGCTACATTATTAAAAATAATACTTTTTATTATTTTCATTATTTTTTTTTGCTATTATATATATATTTAGTATATTTACTATACGTCATCATTGAATTGTGTACTTTGAAAGTTATAAAGAAAGTTCTAGAAAAGTATTTAATTCGAAATAATTTCGATTGTAACGTATTCGATTATACATTTTTTCTTTTATAACTTTGAAGATACATTAATTTAAAATTTAATCAATAATAAATATTATATATAAAAATATATAAACAATATTTATTTATATTTATTATTATATATACAATATAATAATTAATATATCATATATATTAAACAAAATGTACGGCAATATTATTACAAAACTTACGTAAAATTTTTAAATATGTTATTACAATGTAATGGAATAATTAATTTTAATGAATTAATTAATTATCAATATAGAAATATCAAAATTTATGATACATAATAAAAAAATATTTTATAATATTAATTTATAATTAATTTATCATTTAAATTGAAATATCAAATATAAATATAAAATTATATCATAATTTAAATATAAATATCATATATCATATGTTAAATATAAAATTATGACAATATCATTAATGATCAGTGAAATTATAAAAAAATTATAAAAATATTTAAAGATTTTATATATCTTAACAAACAATTTTCAAATTATTTATATATTATAATAATATGATGAAACAAAAAAAAATAGAAATTATAAAATAATAATAATAATAATATTAATANNAATAATAATAATAATAATAATAATAATAATAATAATAATAATAATAATAATAATAATAATAACAATAATAATAACAATATTAAGATATTTTTTTTCTTTATATTCACGAATTAATAGTATAAAAAAATAATTATTAGAAACAAGAAAAAAAAAAGTATTTATTATAATTTAAAGTAATGTAACAACAAAATTTAGTAAACAATAAAATTTTCGAAATCTATTCTTTAAATATACAAAATATTAAAAAGAAACGTTATATGTTATTTCGATAATATTCGAATTGTTATTATCATATTCAAAAGAAGATTGTAGAAAAAATTTCGATCGGATGATGCAACAATGAACTGTCAAAATTAAAAGATCGTAATTTAGAGTATTCTTATCGTAAATGAATGAATATGAAAACAAAAACAAATTTAAAATATGCAAACATGTAAATGAACTTTTCCTTAATAGAATAAATATAAATAAGATTTGCAATTAAAATCTGAATAATTCATAAATATTAAAATGTCAATAATAGAAAGATTTAAGAAAGATATTAATTTTGAAAAAATATAATTATTTTAAGTACACGTAAAACATGTAAAAATTAAAATCATATTATATTTATATTTGTATTATTTTAATAATTAATAATAAGAATAATAAAAAATATGATATAATAATATTCTAAAATTGATTTCATAATGTTCTAAAAATATCATAATATATTTGTTTTAATTGTTTTAATAATAAAAAAGAAATAACTATAAAAAAATTGTTTATTTAAAAAATTAATATGATTAGGTTATAAAAAATTAATTGATAATTTAATATAAAAAATGTTCCTATATCATCATAACGAATTTTAAATTGATTCGTTATTGGCAACAAAATACAAATATAATAGTTTTTTGTATATAAAAATTAATGTACGTACCATTTATTTCAAATTTACAATACGAAATTAAGATCATTGAAAACTATATGTGTATTTATATTATCTTTTTTCTTTACGTAAGAATAATGAGCTCCCGCAAATATACACTATACACGAGCGTGTACATGAACGATATTGTAATTCGCATCTGCTTGTGAATCATCACGGACGGAAAATATCCGAATTACTACGGATACGTACGAATTTAAACGAATTTAACCGAAGTATATAACGTATAAAATTGTTATAAATTGCTGATTTATTTTTATAAAATATTCTTTAATATTTTTATAAAATATTCTTTAATAATTCATTTATTAAGTAATTCAAATAAATTTAAAAAATTATTCAAAATTTAAATTAATAATTATTTAAACAAAAATTAATAAATAATAAAAATTAAAACGCAAATAATCATATATCATAAACAAAATAAATAATTCGCATAAGAATTAAAATTTTAAAATATTCTAGATTACATTTTCAATATTTTATTCTGGAATATTTTTTAATAATCTTTATAGCTATATCTATAATATTTATTTGAATTTATTTTTAATATATTTGAAATAAATTTATTATGTTCTAATATTAAATATATTCGGAATAATTTTTATTTTTTTCATTAGTTATTTCATTAATTATAAAATATTATTAATTTAACAATAATAAACATTATATTACTTATTTTTAAAAACAATATACAAAATTATAATGATTTATTTATATTAATTTGTAGAAAAATAAAAATTTAATTTTTAATATAAATATTGTGTTAAATTTAAAAATATTAGCGAATTGTAGTAAAATAATTAATTAATATTATATTATAACCTTATATATTATATATATAGCTACATAAATAATCAAATACATAAGTAAAAGTCATTGTAATTGTAGTTAATAGTTATACTATTCCCGTTATTTCGCCATTTTGTTTTAGTTAGACATTTGAATGTATTTTGTAAATACTTTTTGAATTATAATGAAATTTTAAAAAAAAACTTACCCGGATGCGTCCGAAACGCTTTCACGTTAATAGATCACCCAATTTTGGCTTTTTTATCGTGTTTGTCAATATAGATAGGAAACAGATTCACGAACGAAATATTCCGTTTGACAGTTGTTCTAACAATAAGGAATGGTGGAGCTATGAACATTCAGCTGATCGTTATGCGTCACTACGTCTTCACAGTCATGCGTAATAAGAATTAGTTCTATAAGCATAGTTTATTTTATAAAAAATTCTGAATATAATGTTATTATATAAATCATTATCATTATTAATTGTTTTTAAAAACAATTTTCCTTAATTTTAAATAAAATTTAATGCTATTTTCATATTCATTTGATATTAATATGTTTTAAGATTATATAAATTATAAACATATTATATTTTTTATAATATTAATGATTTCACATGTAATATATAAAAAAATATTTTTAAAAAAATATAAATATATATAATAAAAATAAATATTTTTTTCATAATATATATATTATATATTATATTATATTTTTAATCATAGTGTCACTAATCAAATTCTTGTCCATACATTTATATATCCTTTTAATATTACATTATAGTTCATGACCAAACTTCAGTTGATTCTGTTACAAAATTTATTATAATGTTTGACAGTCATTTCATAATAGTATACAAAGATAAATGTCTTATGTCTTCATTTAAATAAAAAAAAAACGGAAAGAATATATTTTTATGAAATAATAAAAATAATAATAAATAAAATTTTTTTTTTAAAGTTATATATATACATATATATAGTTATATATATACATATTTTTCCATAATCATCTATTGTAATACATTTTCATCACAACTGAAATATTTGCCTTTTAAGTGTTTTAAGTTACTTTTAATTTCAAAAATAGATGAAAATCACTAGGTAGTTTGAACTGTATGATGGATAAAGTTTTGAGAAAAAAATTATTTTTTTTATAAACAAACTAAAAAAAATAGAATAAAAATTATGCATTAGCAGAAATATATGTAATAATGATTACAATTAGTAATATAATATTGATTACATGGAAAAATAAGTATATAAATAAAATATTGATTATATGGAAAATATATAATAAAAAGTAAACAAAAAAATTTTTTTACTGTTATTATAAAGATATATCTTTCTGTTCATTTTTTATTTAAATAAAGATATAACTTTTCATCTTCATATTATAATTATATCTATTAAAAATATATATGTATATATATATATATATATATACATATTATATATATAATATATACATATATATACATAAAAATAAAAAAATATAAAAAATTTTCAATAAATAAATATGCATATTTTAGTATTACAATGTTTTTGCTTTATTTTCATGAAAAAAATAAGTATTTCATTAATGATAATATATATATTATAAAGAAAAAAATAATAAAAATATTTTTTTCTTTTTCATTATTATATAAATTACAAATTTATTTTTATTATTTAAAAAATATATGATTTCTTATAAAAAATTTATTTTTATTTTCTAATTGCACAAATAATACAAATAATTGTCTATTTTCTAAAGTTTTCTTAATTATATAGATAATACAAATAATTTTCTTATTTTTTAGAATTTTAAATACAATTTTTTTATTATCATCAATAATCATCTTTGATATGTAAATACTTATTAAAACAAAATTCTTATCCATTTTCACTAGTACATAAACTTTCATTTAATTTTATTTTGATATTTTTTTCTTGTTCTAATGTTTTCACAGTTGCTTCTAATACATATAAATGTTCATCATTTATACCTGGTGCTATTAGTCTCATTGCAGATGCCAAATTATATAAATATTCTGTGTTTGCTCCACTAGGACCATGAGATACTAATATTTGTTTTGCTATTGTATATATATCTTCTACACCTGCATAATTTGGATTATCTTCTCCACCTATGTAAATTGTAATATAAAATGGTGTGTTTTCTGAAACTGATGATAATAATTTTTCATTTTCTAAATCACTTGGAAATTTATTATTTGCTAAGGAATACGATGCAGTATCTTTAATTGAATAAGATGGATAAAAGAGCACACTTTTTCTTTCATATCCTCCTTTTTCTCTGTAATCCAAGTGTTTTACAACTTTATCTTTGTTTTGAGGTGATATTCTATAAGCAACACCCCATACTTCATCATTAGGATTATCAGAATTAAGTAATGTTACAACACGACCAGGCTATAATATTATTACATAACATTATTATTTGTTTAAATATTAAATATAATGTATTATATATTACATAAAAGTTAATAATATAAATTATTAATAACTAATAAAATAATTTATATATAATATAATATATATAAATATGAATAATATTTTTAGATACATATATCAAATTTTCAATATTAATATTATTTCAATATTAATTAATTAATTTGATATAGAAATTATATTAAAAGAAATTAACAAAAAAATAAATTTTCACATAAAAAGAATTTATAATTTAAAAAATCAATTAAATATAAAAATATAAAAAATACCTACAATTTGTAGATATTTTGCTGAATTCTTGGAAAATATAAAAGTAATTATGATTAAGTTTCAAATTTCAATTTATAAATAATAAAAAATATTTCAAGTGAAAAAGATTGGTTGAATAAAATTTTATATTAAAATAATTAAATACATACTCTACTAGGTATTCCTCTATGATCTATACTTTTTTGATAAAATCTTCTGATGTATCCTTTGATGTGACCAACAAGAATTTCTTCGTACGGAAAGTCTGCTTTCCATATCAGTGAACCATAACCAAATACCCACATTATCACTTTTCTTATTAAATGAAATTTAAAGATTAATTAAAAATTATATTTTTTTTGTAAAAGTATAAATTTCGAAGTATAAATTTCAAGTTATTTCCTGTATTCCTAAAAAATATTCAATATTGAATTTTCATTACATTATCAAATAACATATAATTATATGTAGATATTTTATTAAAAGTTTTAAAGATATAACGTAATAAAATATTTTATATTAAAATTTTAAATAACATTTATAAGATATAATTATTTCAAATGAACTATAGTTTCTTACATATTAAAAATTTTTTAACATTCAAGGAATATTTTATGAACGTTTGTCAAAAATGAATTTGAATTATGTTGTGAAATTATAGTCAGTATATATTTGTGCTTAATTAAAATTACATTAGATAACCACGCGGATATTCAAGCAGGATCAAATTCTTTTATAAAGAATAAATTTTTATATAGATCAAAATAAATTATACATAAATTTTAATGCCTATAATTTTGATTAATATATACTTATTAAAAATTTGATATAAAAATTTGATATTCAAAATGTTTTCAAAACTTCTGTGCACCGATGTTCTTGCCATTCGATGTATTGATAATTTAATTTTCGTAGGTTAGTATAATATATATATGTAATTATTTGCATAAAAATTACAATTTTTCAATATCTTTAAAAAATAATATTTATTGATTAATGATATTTATTTAATTTTTAATTATTTTATTATTTACATAGGTGTGGGATGCTCATTATACATTTTTAATGTTAATACTTACAAGTTAGAAAAAAAAATAAACTGTCTTTACCCATATAATATACATGGGATTATTGAAGGTCCTGATAATAAATTAACTGTGTTTGGTGCTAATTATTTTTGTACATATAAGATTTATTATGAAGAAGAAACATTGATGTAAGTTTGAACATTATATATAATATTTTTTTGATTATTATGTATTTTATATATTTATTTATATATATATTTATATATTATATGTATTTATTATATATTTTTATATTATATATATTTCATTTCTTTTTATTTTAGAATTAAAGAAGATTTAAATAAAAAAGAACTCAATGATTGGATAATAACAGTAAAATGGTTATTATACAATGGATATAATTATTTATGTGTTCTTTTAGCACATAATAATATTTGTATTTATGACATATTTAATAAATATTGTCAAAATACATGGTGTGAAGAAAAATGTATTTTGTATCCTTATATTTATAATTAAATGAATATATTCATTAAATGAATATTAAATGAATATTAAACTTAACTTTATTATTAGATATGCAGGATTTATATTGAATAATGATAAAAATCTAATTATTTTTAGTGGAACTGTATATCAGGAAATTTTAATATGGGAAGTAAATTATGCTTATCATATTGAAACATCACCAGTTTTACATCGTTTACAAGGACACAATGTAATACATTAATTTAAAATTATTTTTTTCTAATTATATTTTTATTTTAATGTTTAAAATTATAAATAATTGAATTTTAGGGTGTAATCTTTTCTGTCATGTATGATCCAATTGCACAATTTATTTGTTCTACATCAGATGATAGAACAATTAGATTATGGAAAATAAATAATAATAAAAACAAAAATTGGAAAAACATTGATATAAAATTAGTGCGAACAATGTTTGGTCATACAGCTAGAGTATGGAAATCGATTATTAAAAACAATATTATAATTACAATAGGAGAAGTAAATATTATTATACAAATATAATAAGTATTTATAATGAAAAAAATTTAATTATATATTTATATTTTAAGGATTCTCTTATGTGCACTTGGTCATTGGAGGGTAAATTACTTAACAAAATTTGTGCACATCATGGTGCTGCTATATGGAGTATTGATGTATCAAATGATAATAAAACTATTTTTACTGGTGGAGCTGATGGTGCAGTTCATGCATGGCCTTTTGTTAATGATTATATTCAAAAAACTGTATTATTACCTAAAACAAATGCATACACTTTGCCAAAATATGTTTGTTATTTAAGTAGTGGTAATCTTTTAATTTTTTATGAAAATGGTACTCTATTTATATTTAATAGATATAATAATGTGGAAGAATCATTATATTTAGAAAAATATAGTACATATTGTATTATGGAAGTTTCTTTGTGTCATTCCTACATTTGTTTTGCTTCAAAAGATGGATATATAAGAATATATAAAGGTAATATTAAATTTTTTTTATAATATTACACTATTATTACTAAATTAATATATAAATTAATATATAATAAATATTATAATATTAAAAATGTTTTCTATAATGATTTTAGAAATAAAAGTTGCAACTAATAAAAAGTTACTACAGATTTTAGAAGAAAAAATAATGGAGTCACAAATATTTTCTGTGCAATGGTTAGAAAATAATAAGTTAGTAATTTGTGGAATAAGTGGAATTTTAAAAATATTTAATTTTACTGTAGAAGGTATATTTAAAAAAATATGCAATAATCTTCAGTTATCTGTAATTAATGTTTAGTTAATGTTTAATTATTTAATCTTTATTATTTTTATTTCTTACAGGATCATTTACTATACAATCAGTATGTCTTTTACCATATAGTCGAGAACGTTGGTTAACAGCAGCTATTTTATATGAAGGATTATTAGTATGTGGAGATAGAGCTGGAAATATGCATATTTTTGATCTTAAACCTTATGTTCCATATAATGAAACAATTATATTTGAAACAAATAAACCTATTCAAACTATTAACAAAGTTCATGGAAAAATTGGTATTCAAAATTTCATAGTTGTAAATTCAAAATTAATATCAGCTGGTCGAGATGGAATGTTAAGATTTTATGAATTAAATAAACATAAAAATACAAAATTATTATACATTTTACATAAACAAAAAATGCCAATGGATTGGATTAGTGGTCATTTAAAATCTTTTGATGATATTCTTATATTAGGTTTTAAAGAGGTATATATATATATATATGTATGTATATATGTATGTATGTATATGTATATATGTATATTTAAACAGATATGTATATTTATATATGTTATATGTATATTTATACATACATTTTTTTGTATATATATTCATATATATTTTATTATATATATATTTATTTTTTCTTGTTATTATTTATAGGTTGAATTTGTAATATACAGTATGATTCATCATCGAATTTTAATGAAAATTCCTTGTGGTGGTGGACATAGATCATGGGATTGTATTTTAAAAAATAATCTTATTATGTTTCTATATATTCGTAATAAACAAGTATATGCATCTGATTTTTCATTAACTTCTTTCACATTACCAGTTTTATTAGTGAGTAATTTTTTCTTGTTTTATTTTTTCATGAAAATATATATTATTAAAATTATATTATATTTTTTTTTTAATTTTTAGAATGGTTTTCATACGAAAGAAATATCTTGTATAAATCCAATATCAAAGATTAATCAAAACAATATTTTTATATCTGGAAGTGAAGATGGTACTCTTCGTATTAGTTACATTTCAAATTCATTGTTGAATAATAATATTCACACCTTTCAGACATTGAATATTTTTGATGGTCACATCTCTAGTGTAAAATTTATAGCTTGTTTAGATTTGCAATTTATCTTTTTATGTAATAAATATCTTATATTTTCGGGAGGTGGAAGAGCACAGATAAAAGTTTGGGAAATTGATATAAAAGATGATGAAACATTTTTACATAATAAAGATATTTCTTGTCATGACATTACATGTCATATGTTGTATGGATTTGATCAATATCGTAAAAAACAATTGCATGAATCTAATCATTCTTACAATATGCAACCTGAAACTCGATATATGGATATTGAAATTTATTATTGTGCTACAAATTTTTATTATATAATACTTTTTGTTGCTTGTGCAGATGGATTTATAAGGTACTTTTTTCTTGACATTTCTAAATTTGAAATATATTTTATTTTTATATCGTGTATAAATAGGTAATATTTATAGATATAAATAGAATATAATTTTTTTTAATGATTTTAAATTAATTTTTAAATTCTGTTCATTTACATATATATTTAAATATTATTTGTAGAATATTTTTATATGATATTAATACAAAAAGTATTTCGTTAAAAGTATCTTCAAAATGCGTAGATCGTTGTATAACAAAAATAGCTGTTATAACATATAATAAAAATATAATTGTGTTGATAATGTCAACTGATGGAATCTGTCGATTTATTGATTTTACTGATACTATTTCAAACATAATAGAATTTTCACAAATTGAAAAACAACAATTTGAAAATTATAAAGATATATTTATTACAAAATTTAATTTACATCAATCTGGAATTAATTCATATGACATAAAAATAATTGAAAAAGGCGAATATTTATTAGCAACTGGAGGTGATGATAATTTGTTTAACATTATTCATTTCAATGTACAATTTAAGAAGATGAAAACACATATTTCATTATTGTCGAAATGGAGTACTTCAACTGCACATGTTGCTCAAATTACAGGTAAAAAAAAACATTTATTTATCTATATCATTTTATATTATATATGTTTCGTATCATAGTTTATTAAACTAAAATTATATTTATTGAATTATATTTATTGAATTGTATATTTATGAATTATGTCAAAAAAAAATTAATAAAATAATTTTCAGAAATTAATTTGAAAAAATATTTTTCAGGAATAATATTTCATGATAAAAATACAATTTTTAGTGTTGGAATGGATCAACAAGTGATTATGTATCAATATAATTATAATAATAATATTTTATCTGTAACAATATTGAAAAGAATGTATACATTTGTCACAGATATTAAAGGCATAACTTCGTGGTATAATTCAAAGTATGTTTATTATTTAATATTTGATATTCTAAACTAAGAAAAGAAAATAATAATGATAATAATATTACATTTTAATAGATTAATATTTAACTAATATCATATTAAAATTTATTTCAGAAATGAATCAGTTGTATGTGTATATGGTAAAGGATTTGAGATATTGATTTAATGATTAATATATTATTTTATGTGATTAATATATATAAGAGATTCTGAAAACAGGTAATATTGTTTTCTAAAAAACATTATTTAATATATAATATATTATAATTATAATAATATAATTATAATATATAATATATATATATAATAAATATAATAATAATTATAAATTTAATAATAATATAGTAATATAGTATAGTAATATAGTATATATAGTATAGTAATATAGTAAAAGTATATAGTATAGTAAATAGTATAGTAATATAGTAATGTTAAATAAATTATAATAATATATTTATAGTAATGTAATTATATTGATATATATATATATATATATATCATTACTTTCAACTTAAAAAATATTTAATTCTATTTAGTATTACTAGATGGCGAATCTACAAGATAAAAGTTAGTTTTTCATTCAATTAACTACTTAAAGTTTTTTATTTTTACGAATAGTAAAATGTTAATTTATATATTAATTATTTTGCAGAAATGACGAGTATTACAATATCAGCAATTCGAACACGAACAAGCATCCTTGATAAATCATTAAGTAAAGGAAAGGGAGAGGTTAGCTTGAGTTGTTTTGCACTTTTGTTTTCAGAACTCGTACAATATTGTCAAAATCGAGTGTACACCGTACCAGAATTACAAAATAAGTATGTAAATAATCAAGCTTATTAAAAAATTGTTATACAGAACAAGTGTTTTCTATTTATTGGTTAGATTGGCAGAAATAGGTATGGAAGTTGGCCACAGAGTGACAGATTTACTCGTTGTAAGGGAGAAAGGTGGAAAACGTGAAATAAAATTATTAAATATTTTATTATTTATTAAAAGTACAATATGGAAATCATTGTTTGGTCGTGAAGCTGATAAGTTAGAACATGCAAATGATGATGAACGTACTTATTATATCATAGAAAAAGAAGCAATAGTAAATAAATTTATATCAGTTCCAAAAGATAAAGGAAGTCTAAATTGTGCTTCTTTTATTGCTGGTATAGTTGAAGCTATTCTCTGTGATTGTGGTTTTGTACGTATTAGTTTGTTATTTATTATTTTTAAAATTTGTTTAAAAGTTAAAATTATTAGGGTAATGAAAGATATATTTGTTTTTATAGCAAGCAAAAGTGACTGCACATTGGCATAAAGGAACAACATATATGGTTAAATTTGATGATGCAGTTATTGCTCGTGATAAACAACTTGAAGATCGATAATTAAATATATATATATATATATTAAAAAAAACTAAAATAAAAATTAAAATAAAATATATTTAAATATGATTAAAAAAACAAAAATCTTTTAAATAAAAACATAAAAAAAAAATCTTGGATTTTATATCAATTTAGTCCATTTTTTAAATATAAGCTAATGAAATCATTATATATATTTGAAAATTAAATAATATGAGATATCAATATAAAATAATAAAATGAATTTTATAACTATCATTATTAACTAGTTTTATCATGCTGTTTTTATTTGTAATTATTCTGTATATTACATAGAACAATATATGTAATAATAATATATAGCATTTATTATCCAATAATGTTTAAATTTTATATATTCATTAAGTTTTATTAGCATTTACAAATGTACTATAAGAAAAATAAATATTATTAACCAAATTTAAATTCTCTGTCAGCATAGCTTATTTGACCAGTACGATATAAATGTTCCTGATCATCCTGTAAAATATAAAAAAATTATTTTCATGATCTTTATTTAATAAATATTTTTAAATTATTTAAAAATAATAATTATTTTTACTTTTAATTTTTTTACAACCAATACTGCTGCAAACATAGATCCCAATAATATAAAACCACTTGTCAAATGAGGATATAATCTTACTCTTGTGATATATTCGTGTTGAAGTCTTAAACCATTTAAACGCATAACTGCAGTTTCCACCTATATATTTTAATATATTATATTATAATTAATATTATATATTTTAATATATAATAATATATAATATATAATAATAATGCCAATTATATTCTCTTAATATAAATATCACAAAGAATTAATAAAATTAATATTGTACTTTTGAATATATTTGAAAGCATATATTTATATTATTATTTATATTGATATTTTATATTTTTTGGAATATATTAATGAAAAATTATATGAATAAAAAAAACTTTTTATATAAGTTCATTAATATGAAATTATAAACCTATCTATTTTTAAATTTAAAATAATTAAATGAAAAATGATTAAAATACTTAAATTTCATTCAATTACATATGAATTTAAATAAATCAATATAAAGTACATTTTAAATAATTAATTGAAATTATATAAGGTTAAAAAGTTATCGACACATACGGGCATTGTTTGTTTCATTGGATTATGAACTTCTTTTAAATACTTTTGACGTAATTCTTTTCTTCTTGCATCTCTCCATTGTATTATTTCTCGTTGTTTTGGTGATACATCAAACAATTCTTCAATCTTGGATGAACTCATTTCATTTGATGCAAAATTTGCTCTTAAGAAAAATATTTCCTCATTCACAAAAAATATTATGCGCACAGAGTTACCAACAAAAAATTATCCAAGTAGTTAGCTAAATATCCAAGTAATAAAAATAGTGTCAATGATGTTAGAATATCAGGAGTAACAATAAAAAGAAATCATAGGAAAATGATATCTATCACTCGTTAATCTAGTTAATTTCTCAATATCATGATTTGACATCTGAACGATGTAATATCTCGTATAGATATTTTTGAAAAATAATGAATAATGAAATGTAAGAAAAGTCAAAATAAATTTAAATATGTAATAATATTTATTATTATAAATAATATTTATTTAATAATAATAATATTTACTTAAATACAAAATAACATTTATTAGTTATTTTTTTGAAATACTTCATCATATAAAAATAAAAATATTTGTTTATTTGAATATTTTTAAAAAATTTTTGAAAGATTAATTTTAGAAGCTAAAACAAATAAAAAATTTAATATGGCTCTGTAATATGGTTTTAAAATATATGCAAATTTATATAAAGAAGGTTTAATTGTATATAAAAAAAATAGAAAAAATATAATACAATAAAATATACACAAATAAATAAATAAATAAATAAATAAATATATATATATATATAATTAATTTATATAAAATTGAAAAACTTATTTGTATTGCATATCTATAAAAGATAAAATAAAAAAGATTTAAAATCATATATATAAATATATACATAATATATATAATAATAAATTATATATATAAATCATATATATTATATATATAAATATATATAATATATAGATTCATAATATAAAAATTATAAAGTCAAAGATATTATTTATGTAACACATTATATATAAATATAGTTATATATATCATATATAAATATATATAAATATATGTAATAAATATAATATATGTAGTAAATATGTAATAAATATATATAATAAATGGTAAAATATAATATATTTTGCATTAATAACTTAATTGTCACATTCATCAGTTTCATTTGGTAATAAAATATTTATCTTCTAAAAAATGTCATTGAAAATATAGAAAAATATGTTTGTATTACTATCTATTTATATAAAATTCATTATTAGTTTCTAAATTTATTATAATTATTATATTATATTATAATATATATATTATAATTATTATAATTTAAAAAATTATAATCAATTTTTGTTTTTTAAAAATTCTTCTTTTATTAAAAATGATGTAGCAATTATAAGCATTGTATAAATATATATTTTGTTTTCTATTTTAATTTAATTTATATTGAGCAATCATTTTGTTATTAAGATTTACATATTATTTATAATATTATAATAATGCATTCTAAAATTAAATATAAATATAATAAAAAATTTCTAAAAAGTTTTTTAAAAAACAAAATCATTAAGATAATTATAAAAAGACTAATAAATATATTTATCACCTCTATAATAAAATAAATATTCATATTTTTTAATAATTTTTAAATATATAATCATTTTTAAAATTATATTTAATATGTATAAATAGAAATAATAAATATTTGTCTTAATTCTTATCTATATCTTTAAAAATAAAATATAAAATTGCAGAAAAATCACTATATCACCATTGCGAATAAAAATTTATAAAATTTATAATTTTTACGTCATGGTAAGTAGCATAACCAATCACATCATTTAATTTTTCTTTCCAATTTATTCCTCTATTAATCGTGATATAGAGTCCAACATCACAATCTATGTAAAGAATAGAAGGAGAACAAATTAACAAATTTGACAATGCCATCTACTCAGTGATAATACTACTAAGTATGTACTAAGTAATACTACTAAGTATGTCAAATTTTATTAATTTGTTTCCTTTCTATTATTCTATAAATAATAAGAAAGAGTACAATATTAAATCTATGTTCTATATGCATAAAGTGATTTAATATTGTTGACAATTTTGCTTGTGATAACAAGAATAAGAAAATACAGACAAGAATAAGGAAATATATTAATATATATAATATATATATATATAATATATATAATAATATATGATATTATAGATTAAATTACTTATTGACAAACAGATCTTAATCATTTAAATTTATATAAGATTATTGATTTTTCATCATTTTTCATTAATAAATTTTTAATGTTTAGTTGTTAAAATACTTTTTTATTTTAACATATATTAATAAAATTTAAAAATTATTTCAAAAATTCATGTTTGCTTTTTAATTATATCTTCAACTAAAGAAAATATATTAATATAATTTAATACACATATTTGGTACTTGATTAAAATTATAATTTTAATTTTTAAATTTTAAGTAAATAAATTAAATAAAAATAAAAATAGATTTATTCTATATATAATTATATATATAGAATAAATCTAATATATATAATTATACATATATAATATAAAATATAATATATATAATATATATACTTAATACATATATAAATATATAATAGTTTGTAAAAGAATAATTTTAAATAATTATAAATAATTTAAAATCGGAAGATTAGAATGCAATTCAAAGAATGCATAAACATTGTTCACGATAAAATGCATCACTTTTATATAGATATGTTTGAAATTGCGTTGCTAACTAAGTATTTATCAAAATCACATGATGATTATAATGTGTAATGAATGATTATGTTCAAATCAATTTATACAAAATATCGTGAAAATATTCAGATACAGTGATTATGATAACTGAAAATTTCAGAATTTCAATTAATATATTGAAATTTTATTTATTAATTATTAAATATTAATGATATATTATTATTGTAAATATCTTTTAATATTATTTATAATAACATAAATTTTAATATTAAAATTTTACGATGTATATAAATATGTATATAATATTTGAGATAACATAAGATTTATATAAGATATAAGATATAAAATATGTAAGTTAAATATAAGAATGATATAAGATATCATAAGATGAACTTAATGATAAAATTCAAACATCTTGAAAAATACAATATGTACTAAAAAATAATTTCCATATATATAATATAATAGATTTGAAAATAATTAAGAAAAGCATTAAAAAAATTGTTTTCATCATTTTAAAAATAATTTAAAAATTATTTAAATTATTTAAATAAAAAACATTGCTTAAAAGAATATAAGAAAAATAATAATTGAAATGCAAATTATTGATATATTTTGAAAATAAATATTTCACCAATATTTTTTTTTATTATAATTATTTTATATTTGTATTTTCCATTTTTTTAAAACTTTTTTTATGAATCAGAAAGATTCAATATGTAATTTAATAATGTTCCCATTTTTTTTTTATGAATCATTTAGTATATCATATCATGATACGGAAGTTGGGAGACGCTGTTGTACAATAGAAGCTAACAAATGATGAATCACGTAGTACATAGAAGGGGAGGCTATAGAATATAGAAAAGAGAGAGCACTTTATTTAGTTTCAATTCTGAAGTATTAAGAATCAGAAGATATATTTGTTTTATTTACAACAAATATTTTTTATTTAATTAAATAGTAAGTATAATTTATATAAAATATGTATAAAATATTTGAAAAATTTTATATTGTATTTATGTTGTATATGTTAATAATAATTGTATTATAATTATATGCAAATATAAATATTAACTTTCATTATTATTATTATTTTTTTCTGTATTTTTCATTGATGATTTTCAATTTAAATAATTTTTCTTTTTTTAAAAATGTTTATGTAATTTTATTCACTTTTCGATAGATATTTTATTTTAATTTGTATAATTCGTAATATTATTTCAATTATGGAAATTCAATTTACATTCGAAATAGATTGTGCTCGATTTCATTGCAAATTATTTAAAACCATTAATTTCTTTTATTTTTAATTATATAAATTATTTTAAAAATTCATGTTCGTTTATTATATTAATTATGTCTAATAAAAAATATTTACATATATTTTGATTTTCTTGTACGGAATATTATTTTATTTTAACTAATATTTAATTGTTTTTTTGTTCGTATGATATCAATAATAAAGATATAATGAGGAAATGAAGTTGCGTAGTAGAAATTTTTGTGTAATTAATGTATCATGTATAAATATATCGGATAATAGAATAATGACATATTTTTTATTAAAAAAAAAAAAATAGAATTCTTATAGAATTTAAGAATATTTTTTTATTGTCACTGTGTTTTATTGTTTTTGTGTTTTATTGTTTTATTGTTATTATGTGAATTTCATAAAATTTGACAAAGAAAAATTAAAAATTATATTATTGAAATTATATTATTTGATTTATATTGATTATTTCATTTTATTTTATTTTTTTTTAAAAATAGTTTTTTTAGTAATAAAAAATATTTTAATGAAATTTCGATAAAATTAATTGAAAATATAATTATAAAAAATATTAATTAATAAAAATTAACTAAGATGATCAATTATAATATTGTTAATCATTTTTATAGTTTAATATTATTTAAAGTATATATATTAATTCATATTAATATGTATCTTAATAAATATAATTTGTTAACTAAAAAATTAATTTTTATATATTTTTATACATTTCCAGATATAATTTTAAAATCATGAAGTTATTTTTGATTTTATTTATAACAATATTTACAACAGTACATGCTGTATCATTCTTTGAATTAGTTAATCAAGAATGGATGACATTTAAGGTAATTAAATAATTTACATATTATTTCTATAAGAAAGATTAATAATTTGATACTGTAGAATTACATATATATATTTTCAGTATTGTGATGACAAATTTCTATATCGTATTGATAATTTTCATTTCTTGAAATAGATAAATTATATTATATAAGTTAATAATGATCAAAGTGTTCATTTTGTATATTTGAATATCAGAATAACTTTTATCTCCATGAGATAAAGAATTTGCTTACAAACAACATAATCATTTATTTATTTTTGTAGTATCTAAGAATTGTAAGATGATTTAAGATATAAAGTAGTCATAAATAATAATAAAATAAAAAAATATTTTATTTTATTATTATAATTTCTAGATGGAACATAAAAAAGTATATAAATCTGATGTTGAAGAAAGATTCAGGATGAAAATATTTATGGACAACAAACATAAAATTGCTAAACATAATAGTAATTATGAAATGAAGAAAGTTTCATATAAATTAAAAATGAATAAATATGGAGATATGGTTGGTAATTTATAAAATTTAAATAATTTTATATTTATTAAAAAGAGAATTATTTGAGAAATATATAATTTCATTTCATCTTTAGCTTCATCATGAGTTTGTAAATATATTAAATGGTTTCAATAAATCAATAAATACTCAATTAAGATCTGAAAGATTGCCTGTAGGTGCTTCATTTATTGAGCCAGCAAATGTAGTATTGCCAAAAAAAGTTGATTGGAGAAAAGAAGGTGCTGTAACTCCAGTTAAAGATCAAGGCCATTGTGGATCATGTTGGTCATTTTCTGCAGTAAGTTATTATAGCTAATATATAATAATTTAATTATGATTAAATTATTGTATTAAAATAAAATTTAATTATAATTAAATTAATTCAATGAATTATTTGAAATTAATAATAAGATACTGTTTTGTTATTAAATTATAATAAATTATAAATAATTGAATAAAATAGAATAAAAAATTAAAATAAAATGAATTATATATTATTTATCATTGTATAGACTGGAGCTTTGGAAGGTCAACATTTTCGACGAACAGGAGTATTAGTTTCATTAAGTGAACAAAATTTAATTGATTGTTCTGGAAAATATGGTAATAATGGATGCAATGGAGGATTGATGGATCAAGCTTTTCAATATATTAAAGATAATAAAGGTTTAGATACAGAAGCTTCTTATCCATATGAAGCTGAAAATGATAAATGCAGGTAAATATTGAAGAAAAAATCTTTTTCAGATATCATATTTGTAAATAGTATAATTATAAATTTCATAATGTATACAGATACAATCCAGCAAATAGTGGTGCCATTGATGTTGGTTATATAGACATTCCAACAGGAGATGAAAAATTGCTTAAAGCAGCAGTTGCTACTATAGGTCCAGTCTCTGTTGCTATTGATGCTTCTCATCAGTCTTTTCAATTTTATTCGGAAGGTTTGTTTACTTATTATATAATTTGAAACTAGAATATAAATTAAAAAATTGTTGATTTAACAAAGTAAATATTATATATAAATTGTAGGTGTCTATTATGAACCAGAATGTTCTTCAGAAGAATTAGATCATGGAGTGCTAGTAATAGGATATGGTACTGATGAAAATGGTCAAGATTATTGGCTAGTAAAAAATAGTTGGGGTGAAACATGGGGTAATAATGGATATATCAGAATGGCTAGAAATAAATTAAATCATTGTGGTATTGCTTCTAATGCTAGCTATCCTCTTGTTGGTTCTAAAGGATTATTTTAAAAGAACTAGAGATAACACAACATAAAAAGTGGAAAAATAAATTAAAAATTGTTATAAGTATTTGAACATATTTAAGTTCTTGTTTATACATCAAAAAAAGAATATATACATATTTTTTTATTAAATTCAATAAATGGGATATTCATTAATATTACCTTGTTTTAATATTTCCTTATGAAAAAAATTTATAACATATTAGAATAATTAATATATATATTCTATTCATAAAAGCAAGATGGATGCCATTAAATTAATGTATGTCAAGAATAAGTGTTTAAAATGCGAAATATTACAGTATTGATATATGCATATTTTAAAATATAGCCTTTTGTAAAAATTAAAAATTTTTTTTCAATTAACAAATTAATTAAATGTGTGAATCAATACTGCACAAGTTTTAGTTGTAATACATTATTTTGAAACGTATTTACAGTTATAAACATAACCTACTAGATTTCAAAATTGATCGACATTTATCCTATGTATTCCTATGTGATTTAAGTAAATGAGTACGTTTAAAATATTTGTAAAAGTATATATTTTTGAAATACAATGTAAATATATTTCCTTTTAAACTATACATATAATATTTGTAATTACATATAATTATATTTACTTAAAGAATTATTTCTAATAAGACTATTTTGCAATTGTATAAATAAAATATTAATAATTTTTGTATTATTTACAAAATTTGTATATAAAATAGTTTTTTTTTATTATTCATTATATGATCTTTATGCATTGTGTGATTATTATTGTTGAATTTTCCTGAAATATATTATTCACTATTAATATAAATATTTTTATTTTAATATAAATATTTGAATGTAATTTAACAAATTAAGGATATAAAACAAACATCATTTATTATATACAAGAATAAAAATTATATTTTTTAATGTATTTTATTTTATTTTTTACAGCTACTTATATACATAATGGGTGAATTAAATGTGTGTTTTCAAATAGATACAGATAATCGTGAAAATTTTCCATCTGCAGCTGCTTTCCAAACATTTAAAAATCAAAGAGATACATTTTATGAAATATTTAGAATATGGGAAAAAAATCATTCAGTGCCTGGTTGGAATTTTCAAATAGCTTTAGGAAGTAAAATAAGAACTATGTTAACATTGCACAATGATGCTATAAATTATTATCATTTTGCAAGATTATTTAAGTCACAACTTTTAATTTCATGTATACAAAATAGACAACAGGTAAGCTTAAACAATAAAGTTATATGTTTGCTTATAAATAATATTTTATTTATTTGCTAACTTTTTAGTTTATCTTTATGATTTTCAGACAGAAGTAGAAGATGATGAAAGTATAAGTTTTTTAAAAGCTTTGAAACATGAAAATCCAAAAAAATTGAATCAGCTTCAGAAACGATTAGTAACTCCCCAGCCTTCCAAAAATCAAGTCACTGAACCATCTTTTCCTGGAGTGCAAGAATTTTTCAAAGATTTTATATTGTTTGCTTTTAATCCAATTTTTTATGTTCATTTAGAAAATTGTTTAATTCATGAGATAATGGAATTGAATGATACTCAATTTAATAATAGTGAAATAGAAGATTCAGGTATTAATATTTATTCAATACTGATATTATAGCTATATTTTTAATTATTATTAAATTATATTTAATATATTTAATATTTAATTATTATTTAATTATATAAATATATTTTTTTCTTTTAATAGAAACAATAGTTGATGAACAAACTCAGCAAAATTTTATTATATGCTTATGTAGTTTAAGACTTCTTGCAAAAGTATTAGGTCTTCTTGTATCATTACCTTACAGATCAGAATCAAATAATTTCAAAGAATTAATAGCAACTCAAGTGGAAATAAGAACCAAAGTAAATAATATATTTTTAATATTTTATGATTTTACATTATATATAACTAATGTTTAAGTTTTTATATAGGTTGTACCAGCAATAAATTTACATCTTTGTCTTCATAATGCAATAGCATCAGGAAAATTATCATTAACTGTACCTTGGATAGCAAAATATTTGGCTATGATGGATACTGTATCTCTTCGATTACCATATTATAAACAAACTTTAGAACTCTTATATTATATCTATAAAGTTGTAAATCATTTTGATTTTTCTACATCTGATAGTTTTATTTCTCAACAAACAGCAATTCTCCTTAAATCTACTTTATGCTGGTTATTTGAATTACCAAATGTTCCAAAAGATTTTTATCTTACTTGGCAAGAAATATATAAAGTTAAAGAATTACGAAATTTGAAGCAACTCGATAAACAATATGTGCAAAAGAATATATTATTGGGAGAGCCTACTGTGTCTATTACATCAACTAAATGTAACTTAGACAAATTAGATATTATTAATGAAAGAACATTGCGTATATGTTGTCCATTGGTTGGATTAAATGTATCTGTATCGAATTCAAATGCAAATTTAAATAATTATAATTCAAATAAACATATTACACCAGTTTCTAGTCAACTTCATAAATCTGCTAAAAGTGCAGGTATAAAACATCTAGAGGTAAGTTTATTAGTTAAATTTATTTTACAAGAAATATTATAATGGTTATATTTTAATAGTTGAAATTAGAAGAAGCATTTTTTGGTGGACAACCAGCATCTACACGAAAAACTGTTGATTTTGTATCTGAGCGAGTTGCTTCAACTTGTGTGAAACATATATGTAACACTTTGTTAATGTCTTCTAGAGAAATGAATTTGAATATTTTTAGGGAGATTTTAGAGAAAAAGCAAATTGAAAGACAACCTGAAAAAATTGGAGATTTATTACGTAATATTACAGATTTTAAGGTAAATTTATTGATTTTTAAATTGATTTTTAAATAATATAATATTAAAAGTATATTTATATTATTATATAAAATTACATATATAAACTGCTAATATATTTATTAAGAGTTAATTTTAAAAGGCAAAACAAATGCAAAAGTTGATATAAAAAATGTCAGTTGAAGTTTATTTATTAAGTAATAAGCATAAGCAATTTGAGTTTGTGTTAGATGAACTGAAACAGATGATAAAAAAAACATTATATCACTATACTCTATTTTTGTTACATCATCATTTTGTTTTATTTTCACTTCATTTTATTTAATTAACATAAATACATGTAACACAAACTTAATTATTTATAATTAATTAATATAATATATTAATATAATTAATAATATATATATATATATATATAATATAATTTTATAATAATATTATTATATTATTATAAATAATAATATTAATATATATATAATATAATTATAATATAATTAATTATTTATAATATATTAAAAATATATAATATTTTTACATATCAACTTTTGTATTTCTTTTGATCAATATAATTGATCTTCTGAAGATATCTCATATATTATATATGTTTGAACCAAACCACTTGAATATTGGAAAATATAAAAAATATTTGAAACAAAAATTTAATAATAGAGATAAAAAGATTATGCAATATTAATAATTTTTTTATAGATTGATGTCTAGAAATCATATGAAGATCAATTTTAATTTTTTAATAAATAGAACTATTATAATTTAATTATAATAATATTATAATTATATAATTTTTATTACTAATTGGTGTAATTCATTATTTCTTATAAAAAAACTTTATGTCAAAAAATTTTTACTTAAGGAAATATTGTAATTTAAAGTTTAATCCTTATATTTAAACTTATATTTTTAAGAAAAACATGCAAAATAATGTTCTACTGTTCATATTCTTTGTTTTTTATGATCTTCAAATTACAATATCTTTTAGATTAAAAATTTTATATTATATATAATACATATATATAATACACACACGCACGCACGCACGCACGCACGCACGCACGCACGCACGCACGCACGCACGCACGCACGCACGCACAATATTATAATAAGATATAAATAGCTTAATATTTTTTTTATAAAAAATAATGAGCTGTATTGATTAAGAATAATCAAAATTATATAAAAATTAATTGTATTGTATTATTTCATTTAGGCATTTGTATCAACTCATATGAATACTTTAGCTACAAATATGTCTAAAGAATTGAAAGATCAATGTGAAGCATCTATACCGGGAATTTGTGAATTACGGGTAACTAAATGTATGGAGTCTCTCTTAGCGGAAGATTCTTTGACATCCGTGAAGGAAATGTGTACTAAAATTGCTACGAGACTAGCTATGGAACGTATACATCAATGGATACAATCACATATAGTGGGTGGATCATTATTTATAAAAGATATGGAACTTGAATTAAATAGATTTTTAAAAAACAATGCACCATTACATCCAATTGAAGAAAAAAAACATAATCCAAATGCTATGAGTCCAACAACTATCACTGATAATTTAAGAGTAATTATTTTTATATTTGATTTTTCATTGCATAATATTATAATAACACAAATTATTATTAACACAATTCTTATTAATATGAAAATATTATTTTTTATATTAAAATTTTTATAGGAATTTATATGGATTATACTTGATAATAGTGGTGATTCTTTAACAATAACGATGATATTAACTGTATTGGATAACTTATATCAGACTTTAAATGAAAGAGCTGATTTAGTTGTGGGGCCAGAGAAAGTTTTATACTCTCTTAGTATAGATTTTGCTTTATTTTTAGGTAAAAAATATTAATATTAAGTTAATATTAAGTTACTAACTATAATATTAAGTTAATAACTATAATTTATTATAAATTGTATATTAATTTTTTTTTTATTTATAGTTGCTTATCGAAGTGATTTGTTTACTTTAAAAGTTCAAGAAAAATTTATTAAAGTATGGGCAATGAATCGTTATAAAGCTTTGGAATTGGATTCATCAATAAATAGAATACTTAGTTCTAGAAACGTTATGCTATTAGCTCAACCAGAAAAAGAAGAAGTTTGGATAGTGTTTGGAAAATTTATTAATAAATTGGTAAAAAAAAACGTTTTAGATATTGACAATTTTAGTGATCAATGTGTAGCTTTATTTAGGCAAAATTGGCCTGTGGTAAATATTTTATTATTATAATACTGCGATAAATATCGTTTCTATATTTAATTATTAATTTTTGTATTTTTTATAGCCCATACTAAAACGTTTATCAAAATGT